GAGAATAGCTCCCTGAACTGGGAACTTTTCATCTGCGCCCCCGCACTTTTCAGCAGATTGTGAAGTAATTTGATATATTCAGTCTCAGTGCACGGGGAGTTCCCCATGACTCTACTCTGAAATTCCCGAAAGTTTCATTTTCTCCTGAACATACTTTTTTTCCCCTTTCAATTCTCCCATCTTTTTGAGACTTACCCTTCATGCCCCCGTTCGGCGCTACTTGCTGTCGTCGGGGACACAAAGGACAGCCAGACAGCAGGAATGAGGTAGAAGGGTGAAGCTCTCACAGGCAGACAGCAGCCAACTCTCACCAACCTCGGTTATTATTAGATACCTGCACAATACTTCCATGAGAATCAACAGTCAGTCCTTACAGATTATCTCTAGCAAAGCATTAGAAAATATTTTCTATGAACCACCTGGCTCTAGTTATTCTCAAAGCAGACTGTTCCGAGTGTTATCGGATGGTTCTCAAGACTGTTCGCAGCCTTGAACTTCTGAGTTGTGGCTCCCCCCACCCTCAGTAATAGAGATTCCCCCAAACCCCATTCAAACCAAGAGCTGTGATAGTCCAGGGTGGACAGGGCCCATGCACCTGCCGGCCTCTCTGGCCTGCTCCCCGAAGGGATGCTCCAGGTGTCCCAAGCTGGGGGCCGCTCCCTGCTCCAGAGGGCACCTGGCTGCTGGGCACAGCCACACAGAGAAGCTTCCTGAGGACCGGGCCAGCCCAGCAGCCACTGGCACCCATGTTCTCAGGACAGCGGCTCTCACTATGCTCCAGTCCCGGTGCCAGGGGTAACCAGTGAGCCACCTTTTTTGTTGTTGTCTTGTTTTTTGAGTCAGGGTCTCACTATGTAGTTGAGACTGACATGGAACTCACTATGTAGCCCAGGCTGGTCTCAAACGCATAGTGATCCTCCTGCCTCGGCCTCCCAAGTGCTGGGATTACAGGCGTGTGCCACCACGCCTGGCTGCCACCTTTTTAATCTCAGAGGACTGGGCCACTTGGGCAGCACTGGGGGTTCGAGGAGGCACCCAGGATTTCCTGAGCTCAGGGGCCCAGGGTTGGCCCAAGGTAGGGGGCTGGCCTGGCCCCAGAGAAAATCGCCAGGAAGTGAGTCCCGAGGTGCTGGACCCTCTGTGACCCATGCACAACACCTCCATCTCACAACTGGCTCCTCGGCCCTTTGCTTATTGACCTTCATCACTTAACTTTTTAATTTGGCCCCAGGTAGGCAATGGAGCATGTTGAGTCCGCAGAAGAGTCACAGGAACAACTGGACACCAATATGAAGGTGTTCCACATCTTCCGTGGTTCCCAGAGCATCAGACTTTTGTTTCTGGCTCATTCTTCAGTTTTATGTCTTGAGTCGGGACCCAAAATTTCTCATCACCTGTGGAAATTAAAGCATAACCTCGGCCCCACCTCAAAACCCGGGCTGGTAGCCAGGTTTTCTTGAGTGGAGGTCGATCTAACTCCTTAGATTCTTGGATTTGCCAGTGGCATCCAGCTGCTGTGTGCCCGTCAGGTGCCTCATTCAAAAAATTAAGAGTAAATAAAGCTTGGGATAGTTTTTGTCATACTAGAAAAATCAAGAGCTCAGGGCCAGCCTGGGCTACATAGTGAGTTCAAGGTCAGTCTGAATTACTAAAAGAAAAAAAAAGAAACTCTGAAAGTTTCTTTCTATAAACTACTGTGGACCCTTGACTTACAAACTTGATTGGTTCCCGAGGGCTGGTTATAAGTAAGTCAATACAGCTGAGATCTGGACATTTACCTGGGTACGCGCTATAGATAACAAGAGGCAGATGATCTTCCATTAACCTAATTAACCCAAGGCATTTGTATGTCAGGGTGGTCCTAATTTGAGGGTCCACTGTCCTCAATATCTAAATCCAAATTAGGCATGGAAGATCAGTTACTAATGTTGGATTTTCGTGTTTTATATTTGTTTTAATGTTCAAAATGCAGAAGAGACATTTAATATTCTCAACATGCTTTTTAAAAAATCAATCTTAAAGTACTAAAAAAAAAAGCAGGTTGGCGGTGCGCACTTGTAATCCCAGCTCTCAGGAGGCTGAGGCAGGATCGATGTAAATTTGAGGGCAGCCTGGGTTACACAGCAAGACTTTGCTTCAAAAAGCAACAGAAATGCAGCGTGGACCCCAGCCCCTGACTGCTCTGGTCTGGGCTGTTTTTCCCTTTGCTCAGCCTGGCTCCAACCTGAGGTCCAGGAGATACCTGAGGCCGTGGCAGCTGGGACAGCAGGCTGGGACCCCACCCCTCCACAGGGGTACTGAGGCAGAGCTGGGGCAGGCCTGGGACCCCACCACACCTCACCCTGTCTCCCTGGGTAGATGCAGCCCAGCAGGGAGAAACTGTGTCTGCTGTTATCTCTAAAAATACATTTTGAAAAAACCAGAACCACTCCTGGCCTCCTTCACAAGCCATGTTCCCTGGAGAAGGGTCAGATGGCAGCCGGGGTGGGGGGCACTTCCAATGCCATGGCTTTGGAACATGGGACTTCCGGATACGGATGGGGCACCAACAGCGGGCGCAGAGCAGAGTCAGAGGAGCCCTTGGAAGAGGTGGGAACTGCAACCTGGTTCTGGAGCTGTCCACATGGCCTGGGGGAGTGGCATGCAAAGGCCCTGGGGTAGGCCTGGGCCTGGGGTGAAGCTGCGCCTGTGAAGGGAGGGAAGGCAAGGGCTGGAGGGGGAGCCAGGCCCCAGCTTGGGTTTGATTCCAACTGCACCTCCAGCCAACTGTCAGCTCATTTCAACAGGTTCTGGGAGAGGGAGCAACTTGCTTTTCCTGTTTGTGGTCTTAAGAAAGCATAAAAGCCATTTCAGAATCAAAACTCTGTCTTCTCCTCCTTGGGACAGTCCCTCCCTGCACAGCAGGGAGGACACCCTGTGCTGTAACTGTATCCCCAGGAAATGCAGTGAACCAGTGATGTCACAACACAGGCAAATCTGACTTCCTGCTGGCCTCTTCCCAACTACTGCCCCAAGGCCAAGGACGAGGTGCCTATAACTGCAGCATTCTGGAAGGCTGAGGCAGGAGGACTGAAAATCAGAGGCTTCCTTGGGTGGTGCCGGTGGCAGAGATGGACAGGCCCCGGACCCAGTCCCACGTGTTTCTCACTGAAGGGGGAAGGAAGAAGTGAAAGAGAGGTCCTTTCCTTCCCTATTTGATTTTTCTCCTAACTCTCCAACATCCGGGACAGATGTGCAGGGACCTGTGTGAGACACCTTGTTCTCCAGGACCCAGTCACAGGATGTAGGCTGCCCAGCATCATGGCCAGCCAGGAGCGTCGGCCGGAGAAACCCCACAGCTCTGAGGCATCCAGTTGGACCCGACTCTGGTGATATTCAAACCCAGGCCTCCAGACCCCCAGTTCAGGGCCCAGCAGCAGTCACGAGCACTGGACTAGGAGTCAGCAGCCCTGGGGTTTGGTTCTTTGCTCAAAGAACCTTGCATTTTGAGTCTAGGGATAAACGCTACCACGATGAGCACAGGGTCCCCTGGCCTCCAAAGGACCAACACCAACATGTGTCGCCTGGTGGCCAATGCGCACAACTTAAACCCAGATTCAACTTCGCCACGCCCCCCACCCCAGGCTGACCCTGAACAGTCTGCGCGGGTAAAAGCTCAGGGGAAGAGGACCCCAGCCAGAGGCTGTGCAAGGTAAACGCGCTGGGCCAGCTGGTGGCCGCCTCCAGAGACCTGGGCCGGGGACAGTCAAGGGCCAGGGGCCCCTGTGACTGTCAGTGACTCTTGCGACCAGCCTTACCCCACCCCCCAGCCCGGCAGCCACACGCCCACAGATCCCCACAGCGACCCCGAGTGTCCGCACACCCCGGGACCTAGGCCCGTCCTGCTCGGAAGCCTGCGGGTTCAGGACACGAAGTCTGTGCCCCTGGGCGCCCCAGCATCGGGCCAGGTGCAGTTAGCACCCTGGGCTGCAACTCCCTCCCTCCACCACCTTCCGCGGCTCCCGCGGGCCGCTTCGCATCATCTGCGTCCAACTTCGCGCCAGTGCCCACCCTGCCCCGAGCCCCACCCGAAT